GGCGGGGGGGGGGGAGGGGGGAATCCCAAAAAACAAGTAGAAGCCCTGGAGGAGGAGGAGAAGTGGGGGGGGGGAAGAGAGAGACTGCCCCTTTTTGTCCTTCCTGGCCAGCAGAGCGGGAGGGACACACTTGTGTGCGTGTGTCCTGGTGTGGGTGTTTGTGTGTCCCCCTTGCACAGACTGACCGCCCACCCCCTTCTGCAAGCAGGAAGGCTCCTTGCCATCTTTCAAGTGGCCCAGAGAGAGAGAGACGGAGCTTCCTTCCTTTCTCCGGAGAGAGCGGCGCTCCTGCCTCCCTTCCTCGCCCCTCCCTGGGCGGGGATCTGGGTCCCAGAGATCCCCTCCCAAGCAGGAAGGCTCCTTGCCATCTTTCAACTGGCCCAGAGAGAGGGAGAGAGAGAGAGAGACGGAGCTTCCTTCCTTCCTCCCGAGAGAGCGGGGCTTCTGCCTCCCCCTTCCTCGCCCCTCCCTGGGGGGGATCTGGGCTCCAGAGATCCCCTCCTCCCTTTGAATCCCCCTCTGCCTCCCTCTGGAGGAGACACAGAAGGGAAAAAACTGCCTTCGCTTCCAGTGGAAAACAGGCCTTTCTCTAAAGCTTTAAAGGAGGCGCTGAGAGAACCGGGCAAGTCCCTGCCCCGGGCGGCATCCACCACGCGGGGAGAGGGTTTCTCCCCCTCCCCATGACCTTCCTGCCAGAAGGGACGTTTTAAGCCTCCCGCTCCTCCTAGAAAGACGCCTTGCCCGCGATCCTGAAACCTCTTGGGCAAAACTCAGACCCTCCCCCCACCCTCCCATGGACGGACGGACGGGATTTGGTACTTACCAGAAGGCCACTAAAACCGCCTTCCTGAGGCGAGACGTTCTGGCCGCCTTCTCAACTGCGCAGGCGCCACAGAACCCCTCTCCCCAACTGGCTAACCCACGACCGACCCCTCTCCCCACGACCGCTCTGTGGGGGGAAGAGGAGCGCATGCGTCAGAGGGAGAGCCATCCGAGCAGCCAGTGAGGGGATCTCGCGCGTGCGCAGAGAGGAGCCGCGGGTAGGGCTTGGAGGGCAGCCTGTCAGTCACTCGACGGGGCAGAAAGGGGGTAGGGGAAACGGCCGTTCTTGCCCAGCCCTCCCTTCAGAGGGATGAGCTTTCGCCCGGAGACAGGTGACGTGAAAGAAGCAGGAGGAGGGGCGAGCTCTCATTGGGTCTCCATTGTCTTCTGGGCGGAAACAGAACCTCTCCCCTGCTCGCCATCTACCCCCCCAATTTCCCCTCTCCATCCACCCCTTCGCCCCCTTTAATAGCGGGGGGCGCTCCTCCTAATGGTTGAAGGGTCGCCCCGGCCGCTATCCTCCTCCTCCTCCTCCTCCTCCACGACCCCTCCCCCTCCGCCCGGGCTTCTATAGTCTCGAGGACAAGGCTGAAGGGTCCGTCTGCAGGTTCTGGCTCCGCCCAGGGAAGAACAATGAAGACCCAATGAGAACTCGCTCCTCCTGCGCGTCACCCGTTGCTGGGCAGAAGCCCTCAGGGCTGATCTCCTTGGGCGTCCCCCTGCCCTTTTATGAGGCGCCTATGAGGGGGGTTGCCTGTCAACCCGGCGACGCGCAAGGGAGAGGTTCGATTTCCGCCCAGGAGACAATGGAGACCCAATGAGAGCTCGCCCCTCCTCCTGCTCCCTAGACGTCACCTGTCTCCGGGCGGAAGCCCATCCCTCTGAAGGGCTGGCTGGGCAAGAACGGCTGTTTCCCTCACCCCCCTTTCTACCCCGTCGATTGACTGACTGGCTGCCCTCCAAGCCCACCCAAGGCTCGTCTCTGCGCACGCGCGAGATCCCCTCACTGGCTGTTCCGCTCGCTCTCCCTCCCGCGCATGCGTTCCTCTTCCCCCCACAGAGGGGACACGGGTTAGTCAGTTGGAGGGGGGCTAAGAAGCTAATGAGGAGGTAGAGGTCCCAGGG